AAAACAAAATCCACATTCCTCTCCGATGTCTCGAGACGCGCCGTCGGAGTTCCAGACTAGGGTTAACTCACGGCGGTCCGGCAACGTCATCCACCCTGTGATGGCGGACGTAGAGTCGCCTCCTCCACCTCCGCCGCCGCGGATTCCGGCTCAGAGTCCGCTAGCGTATCGAGAAATCAAGCACTTGAAGAAATGGTTTCCATGGTTGATACCTTCGTTTGTTGTAGCGAATGTTGTGATGTTCGCAATCACCATGTTCGTCAACGATTGCCCCAAGAACTCTGTTTCCTGCGTTGCTAGGGTTTTGGGGAGGTTCTCTTTTCAGCCCTTTAAAGAAAACCCTCTTCTTGGCCCTTCGTCTTCTACGTAAGCCCTTCTCTTGTTGAAGTAATGTGTGCATTTTAATGGAGAATTGTATGAGATATGGTCACAATTAGAGTTCTTATTCATTGTAATAAGACATGGTTACAAATAGAATTGAACTAGAGGACTTGGTGCTTGCTTGCACACAAAGGTCTGTTCTTGGGGTTTTGAAGTTGAAGAAGATAGAAATTGATTGGTCCATGTAATTATGTTTCTGTTGAGTCAGTTGATGGAATGTTATGCATAGCCCAATTTTATTTTATAAAATTAAGTAATTTGAAACCAGTCCTTTTATTTTGTTCTTCATAAATATAGCATGTTTGCATAAATTTGAATGTCTAACGCTCCATGGTGTGGTGGTGAAGGTGAGAGTGGCAGTGGTGGTGTGGTGATATCAGTAAAACATTTTCTGCTTTTTAAAGTAAAAAACATTTTTTTGTTTAAATGGGTTTGTTTTCTGTTGACCACGGAGAAATTTTTTTTTGTCCAAAAAAACTGAGTGTAAAATGAAAATATTTGCAGTGTCACATCACAGTGGACAGTGCTATTTTTTTTTGTCACTGCACAAATTGACTTTAATTCAACAGTTATATCCCACGTATATCTTCCTTGAATCATTTGTGCTGCCTCGTTTGTCTAGTGCCATTGACCCGTAGCTTCAGTTAAGGTATGTGCTATCATGGCTTTTCGTATACTCTTCTTCTCTACAATTGTCCTCAATGCAAATTCTAGTCCATATAACTCTTCCTCAATCTGTAAATCAGCCACACTTATTTCAGGAACATGTTTTTTTTTTGTTTCTTAACCATCTAGCGGTGGTTTGTATAGATTTTATTTTTTAATTTCCTGTTGGTTCTGATGAGTTGAGAACCTTAATTTGTACGTTTTACTAACTAATTTTGAATGTTTTTGTACTTTTTGATCTAACTGAGCTGTTTGGCATGCAGTTTATGTTAGAAGTAGGATTGCTTTGAACTTACCCAAAAAAAAAAAGAGAAAGAAAGTTGGGTTGTATTGAATCATCTGATGTTGGAGTTAATAAAATTAGGTCTGATCTGTGATTTTCCATCACATGTATTATCAATGATGAATAATGATTGTTGTTATATCTAAGCAGCCTTTTCATGTTTGTGTTGGTAGGCTAGAGAAGATGGGGGCATTAGATGTGAGTAAAGTGGTCCACAGACACCAGGGGTGGCGCCTTATCACTTGCATTTGGCTACATGCTGGAGTTTTGCATATACTGGCCAACATGCTGAGTCTCGTAGTTATTGGCATTCGACTTGAGCAAGAATTTGGCTCTGGTATGTATCAAAATCTTAGTTCCATGTTATTTTCAGTATCTCTTTTTACAAATAACCACACAGTATTCTGAAAATCTGCTTAAGAACACAATTGTATCATTATTCATAGTTTATTAGATAAAAATAGAAGAAATTCATCACGTTATAGTTCCAGAAGAGGGAAGGAAACTGTCACCTAATAATTTCCGAATAAGTTAACATATGGGATATATGTTAAAAAGATTCAGTGTTGAATACACAGTACTTAGTAGGTCATAATTATACAGTCTAAGTTGTTATTTATTTTATTTCACTGTGCCCTATGCATGTCGTTTCACAAGGAGGTAGGTGTGGGAGGGGGAGAGAGGATGAAGTAGAGAGAGGTAACAAAATTATTTCTCAAAATTTCTTATTGTTTCATTGTATATCTCTTTAGATACACCCTGTTTTTCCATGTCCTTAATCTTGCTCTTTTATTGATCTCCTTGTATGGCCTTTTGAGAACAGGAAGTCTGAACAAATAATTAGCATATTAATTATTAAGTCATGTAAAATTATTAGTCCTTTTGTTCCTTTAGTATCAAAAAAAAAAAAAGAAAGAGAGAAAAAAAGATGAAAGAAAGAAAGAAGTATGAAGCCACTTGTGTAGTAGGAGCTTCCTTGTCAATTGATACTAAATAGCATCAAGTCTTCTTCATGTCTCCTTACTTTGACTAACGATATGGCCTTGGATAGAGTCGAATGGAAAAAAAAGATTCATGTAGTTGATCTCATTTGATGGGACTTAAGATTTGGTTTTGTTTGATCCCAAAACTCCAGGCACATTGCCAAAGCATCACTGAAATTTCACAGTTGATGAATTACCATGCCACGAAAGAAACATGATTCATCACGTGGCACTTAGAAAGCACCTATGAAGTACGGGTACGGGTATGAGTACTGGTACAATAGAGGTACATCGATATAGTAAAATTCCAAAAAAGTAGGGTACGGGTACGGTTTGGGCTTGGTACGCTTGTAAAAAAATATTTATTTTTAATTTAGAATAATGCAAAAATTAATTAAATAGTTTAATTTGTTAAGATTCAACCTACAATTAATATTTAATGCCAATTTAATGCCAAAAGCAAATGTATAAATCAAAATTAAATGTCAATATATTAAATAAGTTACAAACCATAGTTTAATTTTAAAAACATGCTAAGTATAAAACTAAAAATAAAAAAGAAATTTGGTGACAGGAGTTTTATCTTTTGTAGTAGAAGAAAATATTGTTTCAACTGAGATACAATATGGTTTGGGTATATAGTAGGTACGTTTGGGCATGTCAAAAATTAAGAAGAAAAAATTTAGATACGTATTTCGTATACCCGGTATGTATGAAGAAGTACCATACAAGGTACCATATGCCGGTAAGTACCCGGTATAGGTACGACATGTTTTTCGAAGTACCCATGCTTCACAGGAAGGCACCTAGATGGAAGGTGAGAAAACTATGATAATGCTTTCTATTCCCCATCTCTTAGTGGTAACATGCCACTCTTATGTTCCCTATCAAATGAAATGTAAAGCCTTTAGTTAAATCCAATTTAATTTTTAAATTGAGGAGATAGGTTTTTTTTGGAATGTAGAATGATTTTTTCCTTTTCCCGAAGATTCCTTTTTTCCGCCTATTTTCAGATATCATCCCTTATTTATAAATAAAGATTAGGGTTTACAAGGTAGACAATTACAATCCCTGAGTGCATAAAAAAATGATTACAGACTCTTTCGGCTAATATAATATGCTAAGTGACTTTCGGTGATTATAATATGCCAACATGTAGAATGATTTTTACCTTTTCCCGAAGATTCCTTTTTTCCGCCTATTTTCAGATATTAATGGATATCTTAGATAAGGCAGTGTTTTGAACATTATTCCTCAAGTCCATATATGCAACATTTAAGAAAACAAACAAATATGTCTAGATCATCTCCAATGGTTCATCAAATTCATCACCAAATTTGAATTTAGTAAAAAATGACAGCTTTTTTGTTTCCCAACGGTTTCATCAAAACGATATCAATTGAGAATGGCTCAAATTTTTCACCAAACTAAGGATGTTGTGTGCCTTTCAGCAAAACACTGTTCATTATCGTTGTATTTTCACTACAGGATGACCTACCGGATGTTCTTTTGGATGACCACCTCAAGCAAAATTTTGTGCAGATTTTACACTGGGAGGTTGACCCACCGGTTGACCCCTAGGATGACCCCTCAAGCTTGAGAATGTGAGGAAAAAATATCAACAGTATACCTCAGTAGCAAAGCTGAAGATGAGATCAAAAATCAACCAAACAAACACATATAAATCTCCATAATGATGTATAATAAAAAACCCAGATGCAAAAACTCCATTAAATCTGAAATCGATCAACCAATAACACTCTGTTTGATGCAAACACAGAGTCGTTGAAGCTTCGTTGCCGACCAGATGGTTGGGAGAGATTTTGACAGAAAATTCCAAAGAAAATTTGTTTAGAAGAAGAGAGAGAGAGAGAGAGAGAGAGAGAGAGAGAGAGAGAGAGAGAGAGATTTTGGGAAGAGAATAGTGGATGTGAGATGGTTTTTGTATTGAAAACTTCCAAACAAAACACAACAGAACAGCCCCAATTGTTTCAGAACAGGTTTTTCATTTTTTGCATTGACCGGTCGGCTGCCCGGTCGACCGGTGATTTGATGAAAACTCATATTCCTCCGTTGGAGCATGCGATATCATATAGAGGAAATTGTTTTTTTTTTACTCAAATTTGATGAAAAATCTGGTGAACTGTTGGAGATGCTCTTATTGGGTTTCAAAATGTGAGAAATGTGGATTAACATGTTGGGGCTTGAGATGTCTTCTGGTGTAGGGTTGATTTGATATTATTTTTAGTATCAGCATTAAAATCAATATATTCTTCTTCTTGTTCCAAGTACCAGTGACTCTAATAATGGTCAAAGTTGTGTAGTAATTTATGTTAAATTCACATTTTTTCTGACTTCTCTCTTTTTTGCACGGTATTTTGCAGTACGGATTGGGTTGCTTTATCTGGTCTCTGGTTTTGGTGGGAGTTTGATGTCAGCTCTTTTTATCCAGTCTAGTATCTCAGTTGGCGCTTCTGGTGCACTTTTTGGATTACTAGGAGGCATGCTTTCTGAACTAATCACTAATTGGACTATATATGTTAATAAGGTATTTATTAATCTACTCTTTTAGTATGAGCTTTCATAATAATAGTGACTCTATTGATAGGCCCTAACATCTCACCATTCCCTATTTGTATGTCTAGGTAGCAGCATTGTTGACCCTTGTGATCATCATTGTAATCAATCTAGCAGTGGGGATCCTTCCACATGTTGACAACTTTGCTCATATTGGAGGATTTCTTTCTGGTTTTCTTCTTGGATTTGTGTTTTTGATCCGCCCCCAGTTTGGATGGGTTAGCCAAAGATATGCCCCTCCTGGACAGTTATCTACTTCATCTAAACCTAAATTCAAGATATATCAGTGCATATTGTGGATTATTTCTTTAGCCCTTGTGATTGTTTGGTAAGCCTGAATCTTTATCTTCTTTTTCATTACGATCTATTTTTTCACTAGATCAGACACGTTAATTTGAATAATTTAGACTTGCTGACCACGGTGTCCACAAGTACTGTCCATGACAGTCACAGAGTCAAGTTTCATGTCGCTTACCTGATTGTTCACATTCATCACAATTGTCTGCTACTATGTGAGACACACTGCTCTTTTGAATCCTCTCTCTTGCATCCAAAAGTTATCTCAAAATTCAATTTGGCACTAATATTAATATTAATTCGAATGATTTTTAACTTGTAATAGAAGATTATGACTGGTAAACATATGGAAAAGTTGTTCTCCGGTGTTGACCTAGTTGTCTAGGTTTTCTTTCCTTCACTAGATGTGTCTGCCCAATTGAGTTGGAACCTGTGCCAATATTTGGTGTATGCACTAATTGACTTGGAAGCCATGCTAATTTTAACAGGTTTACTGTCGGCCTAGTTATGCTTCTTCGTGGGGTTGATGCAAACGATCATTGTTCTTGGTGCCATTATATGAGTTGTGTTCCTACTAAAAGGTGGAGCTGCAATTCACAGCCGTTGTCCTGCATGGTAAGCACCAGTGACACGCTATTTTTTTTTCCCCTCCTCCTTACCCAAGATTTTCTTTTATGTACATTTCAGTAGGATTAATTGTACTATAGAAGATAAACCACTTTTCGATCTTTGTGGGATTCTATATACTAAATCCAACCATCTAAGCCATTAAGTCGATGTCATTCTTGCAGTCTGACCAAACGGGTGACAAGCTAACCCTAACGTGCTCAAGCAACGGCAAAACCAGGACATATACATTGGCAAATGCAACGACGTCTCAGATCCAAGGGCTATGTACTCAGCTTTGTCGATGACTCTAATTCAACTGCATGGATTGAAACTGTTGTAGTAGGTCACTTTGATGTGTAAATTCACAGAGCCAAGTTTTCAACATGTTGTTGTTCTTTGTTTTAGTTGAGTTGTTAACATGGTTTTTCTCTTTAAATTGACGTTCTCTATTGAAATGATAGCTCTTTCATTTGCACCATTCATCACAGGTCAGAAGTGATTGAGATTAGATTCTAAGATTGTTTTCAGTGGAGTTTTTTAAAACAAATGTTTTAAAAAAAAAGGAAAAAACCCAACCTTGTTTGTGTTTCAATCAGATTGGGCAAAATTTTTAAATAACAAATTTCTATTTTGAAAGTATAGAAAACATAAAGCAAAATGGGAATTTGTTTAATTCTATATCCTTAAAATAAAATTTCAAGAAATATAAAAATGTCGTTTTCAACTTGGTTTTTTATCAATAAAAACAATCACTCATTACGTGATTATCATCTAAAACGCATACTAAAAAGTTGGGTAGTAAATAAAGACATTGAGGTGATACTCACAAAGACCATAAGGTTTCTCAAAAAAAGAAAAGGCCATAAGATTTTAAATTTAGCATTTTTAACTTTTTAATATTTCAACAATCAATTTACAAAAAATATATAATAAAGAGAGGATAATATATGAAAATTTTAAAACAAACTTGGGGGTCATTGGGACATGCTTTTTTAGTGATTTTTTTTATATAAAAATATGAGATGAGAAAAAAAAAATTGGAATGACTTTTTAATTTTATTTTTTTTAAAATAGGCAAAAAATAAAGTGATTTGTAACTTTTTTTTTGAATTTGTTGATTTTTTAAACATTTTTAATGATTTTTTTTTGAAATTTTAAACTAAAATATCAACTCTTCGAACGACATGTAAAAAAATAAAACGAAAAATAAAAATAACAATTTCTCTCTCAAGTATATATACATATATAGAGAGGATTGTTTGAGGAAGTTGGATAAAAGTTAATTTTTTATTTTTTTTTAAATTTTTTTTTAAAAAAGCATGTAAAAAAAATAAAGAAGTAATGTTCCCTAAAATAAGTAAGAAGTTCTCAAATTGACCCATTATAATATAAGTACTTTTCTCTTTGTACTCTGCAACTATCAAACTTGTAGCTTTGCTTTTGCACACAGAAGATTTTGGAGCCTTGCATTGCAGTGTCGCGAAATTGGGGTTTCTGTTTTGAATTTCTCGGTCCCACCAATACAACTTCTTCGGCAATGGCGGTGTTCGAAGCTATTCTGTTTAAAGTCTCGTCGAGTCGAGACTGTCATGGAAGTGCTCAATTCCTTAAACAAACGGAAGAGAGTTTGTTCATGGAGTAAGTACGTTTTGATTTCAATTCTTCATATACAATGTGCGCACAACACAGATACACACGTGTATACGTGTTTGTATTCGTCTATGTATGCACACAAATTTGGAAATCAAATGCATTGTATCTATTTGCATTGAATGATTTGGCGGGAAATGGAGAGTAATTTTTTAGGTTAATTGCGCCAAAATCACTCAATTATTAGCCAAAAATTATTTTACTATGCACGCGTACATATTAAACCTTTCAATTATAAATATCGTATAAATAAGTCCTTTCGGATGTGGTTTGACCGAGTCTGCAGGGGTCAAAGTGTTACACTATTATAAATGAGGGGTCAAAATGTAGGACTTAGGGTGGTTGAGGTGCCAAATATAGGACTTTGGCATAGCAGTTACTGTTGTGCAGTCAAATAGACCCATTTTGGAGTTCATTTTGACGATTCGAACCGTTCATATTTTAAAGTACATTGAGTACAATATATCTAAAAAAAAAATCAAGATATCATTAACCCTTTCATTCATTCACATTTGTATTCATTTTAATACTTTTATCATGTTTGATTTACAAATTTGGTGAGAAATAATCAATGGAAAATAAAAGGGTAAATTACATTAACAGTCCCTATAATTTGGGATTTGTGTTAGTTTGGTCATTGACTTTTCAATTGTGATATATTGAGCCCTGAATTTTGAATCTCATTTTAAATAAAAACAATTGAAGACATTGTTGCTATATTTAAAGGGCAAAATCGTCATACAATTTATTTTATATTGATTAAGTTATATGTTGTTTCAAATAAAATGGTTTTTTTTAATGAATAATGTTTAAACTTTTTTGGTTATAAAATTCTGTTTAGTTTGGTTTACAGAATTTATTTTTGAAAATTTTTTTCCTAAGAAACTAAAAATTAAATTGGTGAAAAACAAATTAAAAACACATCATTTTTATATAATTTTATCCTTTAGGAAGGTATAAATAATTTTTAAAATAATTTTTTTAAATCTTTATTTTCATTAAATTAGTTTTTATTTTTTCAAAAGTTAAATATAGCGACAATTTTGATGTCATTATTTTACCAATCCATTAAATCAAAAAATTCAAAATTAAAAACATTTTATATATTAAACAGATCAATTATACATTGAAAGGAAAATAACCATCTATTACATGATAACCATCCAAAAATATATGTTAACAATAAATACAACCATATATTACGTGATAACCATCTAAAAATATCAATAAAAACAATCACTCATTACGTGATTATCATCTAAAACGCATACTAAAAATTAATTTCGTAGAAAAGTAAAAAAAATAAAAATGTAAATTTATCATTTTTATATAATTTTATCTTTTGTGAATAGAAATAATTTTTAAAAATTTAAAAATATTTTTTTGACATTTATTTTTGTTAAGCTAATTTATATTTTATCAAATTGATAACTTTGTTGTTGAAATGGAGCGACAATATCTTCAATTATCCTTATTTAGAACGAGATTTAAAATTTAAAATTAAATATATGACAATTAAAAAGTTAAGAATTAAAATAATATAAATCTAAAATTACAGAAATCGTTAATGTAATTCATCCGAAATAAAATAACCACATACAAAGGCCTGTTTTGGAAGAGTAGTTAGAAGCTGTGTTTGGGCGTTTGTGATCGTGGTAATAAGCAGCTTTTTTGGTCATAAATTGATTTGGAGTTGCGGTGATAAGTCAAAACAGAAATTACGAAACTACCCTCTATATGTGGAAAATAAGTTACGTGGTCAACATGTGTATTTTCTAAATTGGATATGGGTATTTTGGTCAATTGACATTAAGGCATGACGACATGACAACATAAACAAATATTAAACAAAAAAGTCCAGAAGTAACTTTTTACCAACTTTTTAAATAACTTTATGAAAAAATTAAAAAAACTTGGTTAAAAGTCAAAAAATAACTTTTTACTATCTTTTTAAAACACCTCAAAAACACAAACTATTTACGTGATTCGGCTTATAAAAGTAAGAATATATCACCTAGTTAAGCTGCTTCATAATTGTTTCAAATCAAAATCTAATGCAAGGATATACCAGTAAATGTGCTTGTGATGTCTGCCACTTGCAGCTTTACATGGACTAGTCTTCTCGATTGCGATAAGTAGGCTGGTGTATGGGTTTCTAGTTGCTCTTGACTCTTGACCTAAGGAAGGAAACAAAAAGGGAGAAGGTTTCATATTGTGCATTGACCTTAACCAGAGGCGTAGTAAAAAATTCAGTGAAGAAGGAATATAAATTAATGATAACATATATATATTTATAATAAATAATAATGAGATATTAGTAAACTTAAATTATTTAATTACTTTCAGTGTTGTTTTTATTTGTTTATTTATTCAGATTTTAATTTTGTTTTTGTAACAAAATAAAATCTGTTTTGTTTTTTATTTATTTATTTTTATTTCGAGTTTGATTTTTGTAATCAAACATATTCTCTCCTTTACTCTATTTCTTTTATTCTTGTTGTTGTTTTGTACACAACAGAATTAAATCTGTTTAAATACAGTGAAGATTGTCCTACACATACACCAACTCCATCATCTCAAATTGCTTCAGAGAACTTCACAGCACACCAACTCCATAAATAGAGCAACAACTTCGTGCCAAATTCGAGCAAATTCTCAACCAAACCACAATCGCCTCCACTTCTCTACAAGCTCTATCTCTCGCTCAATCTCTCATCCTCAACCCTTCCACCTCCAACTCCACCATCTCTTCTCTCCTCTGAACCCTATCTCCCCCTCTCTCTCTCCAACTAGACCGTGACCCTCTCTCTCTCTCTCTCCTCTCCGACCTCGCTGCCCACTGCCACCACATCTCTTACTCTATCTTCCACACTATCCGCTCGTTCTCTCTCCTCTACAACCCCACCTCAACTCACGCCCTCACTGAAATCATGATAATATATAGATAGTGTATATATTTTCATTGTGTTCATTATTACTATGCAATTGTGAAGTTAAAGTTCATATCAGACTTTTGTATTTCAATCATCCACAATGTTTATTTGGACACAAAAATGATGTGATATTCACAATGTAACAAATAGATGTGAAGATTCACATTAATTCTAGTATATTTGTGGATGGATCATATACCTTATTTATGTACAATGTGAATATTTACATATGCAATCAACTATAATAAACATAGGACATAATGTGATTGAAAGTGGGCCTTAACATAATTACGATGTGAACATTGACACCAACTTCAACATAAGAGACCAGAAATGGATGTTCACACTTCATATTGTTTAGAATATTGTTTGGTCAACTGTCATTATGTATAGTCAATATTCTTTTTTGATATATTTGTGGATGAATCATACACCCTACATATGTAAAATAACATCTGTAATCGATCACAGTAAACATAAGACATATTTTAAACATTCACATTAATTGAAAATGGGCATTAACATGCATACGATCTCATTCACACCAATTTCTGATATATTTGTTCATGGGTCGTACACTTAATTAATCTGTAGTCAACCGTAGTATGATGTGAATATTCACAATGCAATAAATAGATGTGAAGATTTACGTTACTTCTAATATATTTGTGCATAGATCACACCTAATTAATGTATAATGTGAATATTAACATCTGTAATCAACCACAGTAAACATAGGACATAATTTGAACATTCACATTTATTAAACATAAATTATGATGTGAACATTCACACAAATTTCAATATAAGAAAACAAATGCAAATGTTCATAGTTCATATTATTTAGCACATGCAACACATCAACACCAAATATACCATCAAAACACATAGGTCT